TAGTGTTACATCAAAATTGTAGTTTTCTTTACCCCAGAAAAGGCCCTTTATATTTAAATACTTTAAATTTACATCAAGGGGGTCCTCTCTACGGACGCCGCCATGTTTTTTACAGTCGTCCCGACTGTACAAACTTAAAACCTTTTGAGTTTTGACAACTGAAGTCTACCACAGCTTCTCTTACATGATTGGAAGGGGAGGATGAGGTGAGGTATTCAGCTGCATGTCACTAAATTCTACACACCGTACCTTGAAATAAATGTCAATAGACTAAAAAGATTAAATTTTAACTGTAATAGATGTTTTAAAGGAGGAGGTGAAAGATAAGATGAACCCTCTGAACTGTGTGACCAGCACTGTCTGCCTCGTTCTAAAGGATGTGGAAGCAGCAGCCTGTTCCCAGCAGATTCTCCTCTGAGCAGATCCTGAGGAGCCAAGCAGAACAGACGCAAGGTGTCGTTTAAGAGGCATCGAAAAGCTTTGTGCTCCCTTGGAAACCACGTCTCAGCCCGTTACTTGGATCTTTGTGATACAGAAGAAAAAAAAAAAACAAGATGAAAATCCATGTGGAATGAAAAAGCCAGAAAAAAAAAGACATTTTTATTTTTACCAAGTCTTTTTGTTCAGACTGCAGTCACGCTACCTCTGCAGTTCTCTCTGTTCTTTTACTGACTAACATCTAAAACTCTTTCAGACTTCAGGGAATCTCCCAGTTGTACGTAGGAGGTCTGTTCCAGCACTCTGACGGTGTGAAGAGAAAATGAATTAAATAGAAATGAAGACTGTGTTTCTTAAGTGCATCTGGACTCATTCGTGCACCCCCAACAACTTTAGTTATACTTATTGAGACAAACAGTGGTGTATGTACTCATGCATCAGGCAATTATCACCATCATTAGTGAGGAGTACTCTGCCCTGTCGCCTTACCCTCGGTCCTGACATGACTCATTCTGCTGTAAAGGATCAGCACCGACTCACCGGCTGAGCCTCACAAACAGACTTTGTGGTTTAGAACTAAAAGTCAAATCAGTTGCACAAGGATGTGTGATTCTTGACTCTTCTAAGCAGGAGTCATTTGCTCTGACTTCTGGATAAATTTGAATTTTTTTTCAAGTAACTGTTATGTTTCCTCCCCTGAGAAAAACAAAACCTGGTCCACAGGGGCCGCTGCTTGGGAAACTAACAAAAATACACAACACTGCAACAAAATTGGGTTCTGAAAGGTGATGGTGACAATAATGTTCCCAAGCATCACCCACTCAATCTATCAAAAGGAGAAAACATCAGACCAAACCCAAAGATAAAGGGAGTCACAGAGAAAAGGACCCCTGACACTCTTATATAAATCTTCATAAACAAACCCAACAACACAAAACCCACAACACAAACTCAGAGGAGCAACTGAAGGTGTTGACCCTCTGACAGCAAACAATCAAATGCAGGAGGAAACCAAACCTCCTTATAAACCTCCCAGCCTCCGCTGATTGTCTCCAGCTGAGGAGGTCCCAGGTGTATCCCGTTGCTCCTGATGGCTGGACGAGCTCCGCACCCATAACACCAGCCGACATGGCCGACTGAGTATTCTTGTCTAACTGCTCGACTGTTTCCACTGGGTCTTCATGAAAGCTTTAAAACGTGTAATATTTAGGTGAAGGGATCTATTGGCAGAAATTGAATATAAAATAATCCTATTGATGTTTTCACAAGTGTGTTTCATCTAAATTGTACAATTGTAGTTTTCTTTACCCTAGAATGAACCTTTTATACTTAAATACTTTATATTGACATGGAGGGGGTCCTCTCTATGAAGGCAATTCTACACACTGAACTTTTGAGTCATAGCTTAAAAATACAGAACAAAATAATAATGTGGACCTTCATGCTGGTATTAGACAGTAAACAAACTATATATTGGCTGATATATATTTGAATAAATAAACAATGATTTCTAAGATGTCGTTATCAAACCCTTATGACAAAGTGCCAAATAAATGTAATTGAGGCTTGATATAATAAAGTTTTTGGTATTGAAATTTTAAATACAATTTGAAAACCTCAATACCACTTTGTCTGTGAAAGGCTCTTGTTTGGCTCTCGAAGGGATTGACTTCACATGCTGGTGCTTTAATAAAACATTTTCATCAGAAAGTCAAATGGTCTCCAGAAGACCAAATGATTCTTTCTGAGTGTCCCATTAGGAAATCTCGAAGTCCTAAAAATTGGAGACCAGGCAGCTCAAGGAAAATGAACTGGAGTGTCAGAGGCAGAACAGCCTCTCAACAACATGGTAGAGACACTGGGAAATAATTGACTCTGCCTGCTCCTTCATTCCTTTCAGTCGCAGCTCTCCTCTGACTGCAGTCATCTGAACCTGCCTCCCCATTATGGATTTAACAAGAATAAACGTTTGCTACATTGTGAGGTTTGAAAGCTGATCAGACAGAAAAAACAAAGATGGAATACTGAAATAAAATGAAATAAAATGTCATTATTCTTAGCGTTGTACCACTATAGTGGGGGAGGAAAATGTGATGTAGGACCCAAGAGGGCCATTAAAAGAAAGGTTGTCTATCTATAGAGCAGCTTCTTTACGACGTCTCATGCTCGTCAGGCTCAGCTGTCAGGCGTGACTCAACTTTCCTCAGTGTGAGCTGCTGTGGAATGATGTGGACTGAACATCCCTGAGCTGCGGCTCATCTGGGCCCGGAAATGCCTGAGTCTGAGACTCATGTTATCTTATAGGTTTAACTGGTTGTCTGAAAACAGACGTGCTGGATTTTCTCCACCAAGGAGGTTTTTGTTTTTGTCTAGGTTTGTTTGATATTTAGCAGGGCTATTAAAAAAGTACTGAACGGATTATCATGAAATTTAAAAACTTGGGAAATGTGTCAGGTAAGAATTCCTTTAAATGTTACTGAGCATTAGAATCAAGTGGTCAATCCATGAATTTTCTTTAACATTGTGATTTTCTCTCAGATAATAATTGTTATTTCTGAGTGTGTATTTGATGCAGATCCAAATAAAAATCTGGATCTAGTGAATTTAAATGTGTTTTCATGAAGGGACTGTTGGGCCTCGGTGGAGATCTGTGCTCTGCAGAATCATATTTTAGTTACAAAAAAGTTAACAAAAGTGTTAAC